GGAACAGTTCGAAAACAAATACGAAACGTTTCACGAGAATATTTTATTCGGAAATATTATTTAGTTTCGAATGTAAATAAAGAGATTCGAGTTTTCTCAATCTAGTGTAACATTGATCATAAAATTCGTATCATTTTAGTCATTTATCTCTTACGTTTTAACCTTAGAATGATTAAATATTCGGTCGAATAAAAGATGCGATTAAAAGCATTAAGTATTAAACATTAAGGAAATAAATTATATTGGAAAATATAGAATGGAATGTAGAAATATAGAAATATGAAATAATAGAATATTGAAAAATTACATTGCAAAATAGAAGATATAGACACGCTCGTTACATCATTTTTACTTTTGTTACGGTTTATTCACCGAGGCGAGACAGGGCCGAGACGATTTGCCGTGAACGTGCAATATCGATGATCCAATCGAGGATTATCACCTCCTAAAGACAATTGACCCTTCGCCCAACGTCGAGCAATTTCGATCGACAACCATAGACGATAGTGATAACGGCTTCGGCTCCATTCGTACCCGACGAATTTATTGGAATGGCGTTCTCTTGGTTTTCCAACGATATTGGCGAACTCGTTCACCAGTGAAAAACCAGCGAACGAAATACATTTTACACATCTTCTATTTTTAAAAATGTTTCATAATTAAATATATGTCTTCATACAATTTTAAATCATTGCAATTATGCAAAATCATAATGAAACTTGAATATTTTCAGGTAAAAATCGTGAGAAAAAAATTACAAATTTTGTCGTTAAAATACATTCAGAAAATAGAGAATACAATGCCATTGAAGTCAGTTTTTGATTTATCCCGATATCTCAATCGGTTGCCGAGATATAAAGATTTAAAGTTTCCATAATTTTTTAAACAGCGCAGCGATATATTATGAATGGACCCTGACCTACGTTTCTTCTTGGAAATGCGTATTACGTTTTTCCAGGAATCGCGTCTGTCGCTTGTCTGGACTTTGGGATAGGTAAGTAAGACGAAGTGCGAGTAAGAGGTCCGAATAAGTGACAAGGACGGGGATAGTAAACGATTAAAAATTACCTTTTTCTTTACACGATGATATCTCGGGAACCGGAAGTCGTATCGAAATAAATAAAAAAACGTTTTAAAGGGGAAGATTCAGCGCTTCTAATGATTCTTCGTTGATTGATCGGAAATCATTATCTTCGAAGTTATAGCGGTTCAAAATTTTCCTAATTTTAATAGAGTTAATCGGATTTAAGATAAATGATTAAAAATTACTTTTTCTTTACACGACGATATCTCGGAAACCGGAAGTCGTATCGGAATAAATAAAAAAATGTTTTAAAGAGGAAGGTTCAGCGCTTCTAACGATTCTTTACTGATTGACCGGAAATCATTATCTTCGGAGTTATAGCGGTTCAAAGTTTTCTTAATTTTAATAAGATTAATCGGTTTTCTTCAACTAAATTATATGTTTGATATATTCATTTCTGAAGAAGTATTGTTCATAACGATCTTACTAACAATAGACGATATTATATTAATAAAAATACAAAGTAAAAAATGAACGAGATTAAATTATAACGAAGATAACAATTTCACTCAATTCTTCCTTCTAATTATGCTTCATTAATTAAATGCCTTGTTTTTCGTTCATTTCAATATCAATACATCATCAGGTAAATGAGAGACGTCTCCCTTGAATTTGTATAATGGAATCATATTTACGGAAACGCGTGCTTCGCACTCCTCTGTGGCTAATTTATATTCCTCTTACGCGTAACTAACTAATTAACCGACTGCCTACCATTATGGAAACCACAGATTCACTGCTGCAAAACCAGAATCTAGCCACTGAACAGCGACGCTTCCTGAACCGATTAAATTGATATATTCATATAAATTTCCATTTTTTTCGCCTCGTTAACTTTCCCAATTCTCGAGAATTCTTTTAAAAATCAGTTTAAAAGTTTTACGTATATAATTGTCGTTTGTTTCTTCTTCCTCATTCTTATCTGTGTATTTGTAGCAGTAAAATTTCTATTTCTATCTATATTTATAATTGTAACACTAAATCGAAATATTATTCGGAGAAATTTTCGCGTATAGGAAATATCGTATGTTATCGACCATACGTTTCTCTGTCATTTACATTTGTGTCTTCTATTTGGAAAATTTGCATAGATTCGATGGTATATGAAATTTCGTTTAAATTGTACGATTTGAAAATAAAAAAAGGAACAAATATGTATAATTTTTGTAAAGAAATGTGTTTACTATAATATAAAAATATAAAATCATTATTTTAAAAAGATTTATTATCGTCGATTTGTAATTTGTAAAATTTCATTAATAATATTGATTTAATTGAATGAAGTTTTCTTGACAAGAGAAAATATTGAACATTAAATAAAAGTTAAGCTAAAAGAATTATCCGATCAAGAGCGAAACAAGCTCAAAGACAAAGCTTAACCTTCGTTCTATATTCGTTCACTTTCGTTCTCAATTATTGGATTATTTATCACGTTTAACAAACTTCGATCGCTTCAACTTTTATTTTATTCCTCTTCAAACTCTTATTACGTAATTGTTGTGCACAGAAAAATAAAGAGAATAAATTTTATAAAAAATATAATTTATTCACACATTTATACTTTTCGACAATTTTCCCATTAAGCACGAATAAATTCTTCTCGTCTTAACTTCTCGAGAAAACAGTTTCTCGTTTCAGAAGATATGAATATTAATTAATCTACATTAATCTAATATCATTTAATCTACAGAATTCATAAGAATAGACCGAAACGTTATTGTTTCTCATCGCATTATTATTTCTTGTTAACTCCTCGCCATATCGATTCCACGTGGCTTTATCCAACTGTTAAAACGCGTCTCCCAGTTTTTTCGGCGAATACAGAGATCAGTCCCGGTTCGACTTGACATTTTCGATTTAATTAACAGAGAGAATACTCGGGTTGAAGTGCTTCGAGTGATTCGAGGGTTCTTCATTCGAGACTTAACAATCCTCGTCGTATTAAGATTTTCCGCGTCCTTGGATTTTCATTGTCAATCGTGGGTTACAAATGGCTCATTTTGCATCGCTGAATAGCGGTGAGATCAAAGGGAAAGTTCTAACGAAGCTTGACAGAGTATCATTACGTGCAATTAATAGACTTATACGATTTAAATAATTAGAAATATAATATATGTATATGGATAATATTTTAGACGTAATGTCTAAGAGAGATATTTATAGAGAGTATAGATTAAGATAGATGATTAATAAATAATAATGAAATGTATACGTATTTTATATTACTTTAATTTAAAAAAATTAAATAACAAAAAATATAAAATTCGATTACGCATCTCGCTTCTAAATAATTGCGCAATTACGCGAAGTTAAAACAAATATTGTGAATTAAAAGGGACATAAAAATATTTGTTTCGACCGATTAAATGTACGAAATGTGAAAAATATTCTCGTTATTTGAAGAAAAATTGGTCAACTTGTGTAATCGAGAATTTCGATAATGAATGGGCAAATTTGTTTAAATTTTATTTTAATTGTCAAACGCAATTTTGGTACTAAAAACTTCATACGCGTTTATCACACTTCACGCAATTTGTATTAATTTGTTTTTCAAATTAAAGAATAAATATTATTACGCGATAAAAAAAATATTTAAAATGTCGTACACCGAAAAATTTCAATAAATAATTATTATTCGAAGTTCGCGTTTAAGGATACGATAAACTTTAATTTTCGCCTCGAAATATAATTTTCTTCTTCGACAAATTGAATCGATGATTTCCTCCTCCTAACAAGTAACAAATTATTCGCGGAATTGGTATGCTGAGTTTGCATGTCTCCTTTCATATTATCCACCACCAGACATGGCACTCGTGGACATTTGAAAGACGAGATCCGTGGATACGAATTTTTTTTTTCCCCTCCAGTGTGCCAGACGCTTTTTATGAGGCTGGAAAATGCAGTCGGAAAAGTTGAACGTCACCTTTAAAAAAGAGCACGGCTCGCGTTTGACTTTTTACGAGTAATAAGTAAGTTTACGCAGACGTTTCAATATTTTATTTTCCTTTGTTCCTTTCCACTCGAACGGGAAGCGACAGGGATTGTAATTAATTCCTCGTGAAAAAATTCTTTCATTCAAAGTTATTCATTGGAGAGGATAAGGAATTTGGGCCGATTGATCGAAATAAAAATATTACAATCGTGCGAAAAATATATTCGAAGAAAATATTATTTTGTTTATGGATATTCCAAATTTCAATATTTAATATCGATCAATTATATTTTTAATTGATAAATATTGATAAATATTATATAATCTCGAAATTTTTAAATTGATTTTTATTTGCAGGATAGATATGTAGAGAAAAGTAAAAATTTATAGGGAACGTTAAAAGAAGTCGAGAATATAGATCGGTGCTATCTCTTTGATCGCTATCTCATCGACGATATGAATCACACGATGATTTTACTCCTTTGAAATATTATTCTTGCGTAATATTTTTACGAATCGTTGACGAAAGCGATTAATCGTGTCGTGTGCGATATTTAAAAATTCCTTTTTAAATATCAAGCATTTTCTTTCCGATTAAAATTTTCCTATGTAAATTGTTTAATCAATTAAATTCACTGGTATAATTTATACCAATTTATCTGTATAAATTGAATAATAGTTTGATACATATATTTGAATAATTCTCGTCCAAAAAAAAAGAATACAGAAATAGAAACAATTATCATTCTTCAAAAGGAAAATTAAATTTTTCACTAATTAATTTCGATGCACAAATCAATTCAAAATTCTTCCAGGATAATATTAATTTCTCCCCCCAAAAAATAGAATTTTTACAAATCACAACCCCTTCGAGCAAATTTTCCAGAGACGAAATAAAAATATAAATTTAGAGACAAGAATAAAGGCGAGGTATCGTCTGAATCGCAGAACTGGGATTTACGAGGACGACGTTTTATGTTGCAGGCCTCGTTTTACTCGACAGCACTGAAAACCCTGATCTCTGTGTCTACTGTGATACTGCTTGGCCTCATATTTGCTTACCATGCCTTAGAAGTTCAGGTGCGTATGAAAAAAAAAAAAATAAATAAAATAAAATAGAAAAGAAAAAAAGAAAAAAATCCAATAGGCTCGATGTTACTCTACGTTTTTGTAGCGTGCATGTAAACAATTTACCGTGGACGTTACCGCATCCGCGAAACGAGGGTGGGGACAAAAAAGAAAAAAAAAAAAAAAAGAAAGGACGAATATAAAAAGCTCCGCCGTTTGCACACATCTGTGAGGTTTCATTTCACGGAAACGGAACACGGGTAGACCATCTTCCACGATGGAAGAAATATCTCGATCCTCGTGCCGCTCTGAATTATGCAATTCCGCTTTTACTACACTTTTAGCCACCGTTCCCTGTGTCACTGATAAATTTCTTAAATAAACTCGGCGAAATTTTTATTTCCCACTTAGTCAACTGAAATTTGCATGCATGAAAGACGAGATTACTCGTCGAGATTCGTCGCGATTATTTTATCTTTCGTAAAATATCGACGATTTTGTCTTATCAATTTATTATTTGTTTACGGATGCAGGTCCTTCGATAAATAAAAAATGAGATGGCACAGAATGAAATTGCATTACGCGAATATCGTGATAATTATTATCAATTATATTAAATTATAATTAAACTATACAAATTATGATTAAATTATTATAACTATTAGAGATAGATAGATTAATAATTACTTCATTAATAATATATCGTTATTATTCGCCATTTAATGCAATTGAGTTTATCCGAAAAAAAAATCCAATATGATTCGATGACGATATTATAGAGATCGTTATGGAATAATTTATATTCTCAAATTTCTCTCGCAGTCTGTTTATCATCTTTATCCCTTCTTCTTATTATCTCGAAATTCTAACGGAACGAGTTCCAAAAGTGATCATTAATCAACTTAAAAGAGACGCTTACGAGCATCGATCGCGCCAATTAGAATGTTTCCAAAGGCGTTTCCGACTGGATTGCTTGTACGGTTTCTAATTGGCTGTAGACAGAAGGTGTTGGAGCGAATTGTAATCACATATGCAAAGGTTCCACTGTCGACAAGATCATCGTGACTCGCCTCTTTACTTTTACTTTTTCTCCCTCTCTTCTCTAAATTCTTACATTTATTATACTCATTCGCTTGGACAGTTAAAAGTTAAAAAAATGAAATTGATCAATTTGATTTTATTGACGGCAAAAAGAATCATAATTCATATGATTCTTGCTAAAATTTCGTTGGAAATATAATAGACATTACTACGATTAAATGTACATTTCATTTCAATACATTTATCTTCTTATTTATATTTTTCGCCATACTTTCTTTCCACTTGAACGGATAATCTAATCGGACTAACTTTTTCTAAAGCAATCAAAAGAAGTCGAGGATCTCACACGCGTAGAAAATCGACATGTCTATCGAGCACGTACGTTATCCTCCTAATCTCTCCAATGATTAATCGAGCAATTGATACAAAATTAATTTTCTCGGTTTCCGGCTACTTTCTCTTGATTAAATCTGATTAATGGCCGTGAAATTCCACCGGCACAAAAGTGATATCGAGGGGTGGGTCGACGCGCAGTGAATAATGAACTGTTAGCGGGGTGGCAAGAGAGAACTTTCAATGACTGGCTATCGAATCGAATTCTTCATCAACTTTTCAACCCTCTTTCAACCGTAAAGTATCAATGTTATTTTGCAACTATATTAATCTCTATAGTTACAGAAAAATTAATTACTGTGCGCTAACTAGAGATTAAGAATTTGTTCGCTTTAATTATTCATCTCTTCAAATTGTTTCTTATTAAAAAGGGAATTGAAATAAATGTTTATATTATATACCTAACTTTCATTATATATACCAATTTATATATAATTAGTTATTTCTTTACATTATAAAAGAAATTTAATTATTACCTGTGATTTATTTAGAATGAGAAGAAGGATTGAGATAAAGTATAATTCTTTCGAGATTAAGATCATAATTCTTTCAAATCTGAAGACATTTTTTAACACAATTTCCAATCATCCACTTCAATATTGTATTCAAATCAGATCCGATTAAAATATCCTTATCGAACGAAACACGTTGGATTTTATGCCCGAATCAATCACTCGTGAACCAACATTAGCCGACCATTCGAGCATAACCGAAACACAGGTGAATCGCGCGTTTATTGCAAATCCATATCCAAATGACAATAGGAGGGAGTAACTCGTTAAAATTCTCCAGCCACGTCGATCGCGTCGGGTGCCATGAATTTTCATGAAGGGCCATTTTATATCCATCCTCCTCTACCCAGACTCTACTGTAACCGACGATTTTATGGTCCTTCGAATCGTTGGCGACACATTTCCTCGTTATTAACGCGAACCGTGATTATTTCCACCGGATTTTCCGTTCCTCTGTTCCGAATCTGCAAAATAGAAGTCCGGTACAATAGTGGTATACATCCAATGGCATTGGCTTTTATAGTATTAAAGCAAATCGCCTTGCTGCATTGTTGAACCAGTGTCCACTCGATAAAAATTCGACTGTCATCGCGTGTCGTGTCGTTTTTACTGCTTTTGATTTTTGAAAATGGAAATACAGATTTGCTTTATGCTTTAATAAAAAGAGATACTGGTTTCGATAGCATTTAGATAGAATTTGGATTGGTGAAAGCGTTTGGATATGTAAGATTTTGATATTGAATGTTGTAATGATTGTTTATAAAATAGTTTATAAAATAGGTTTCAAATGGTAGAGAAAAAATTGTTTTTTTAATAGAATTATTGAAAAGAAGTATCTTCATTTTTTTTCTTTTTTTAACTTATTTCTTAGAATGAAGTGATTTTCGAGAAAATTTAATTTAAAAATATATCAGTAGAGGATTTAAAAGAACTTTATGAAGATTATTATATTTTTATAAAATTACAAAGCAGTTCAAAAGTTTATAATCAACATTCTATGTCCATATCTTTATTTGATTTTTTCCATAAGTTTCAATTAGTATTTTTGTCGATTCATTTTTACGTACAATAAAAAAATTTGACACTTATCTATAAAATTAAAATCTTTAAAGTTTTATTTTTTCATTCGAAATCAAAAACTTCCAATTTTTTGCTCCATGCATTTTCTATTATACCATTCTTCCATCATAATTGCCATAAATAATCGTAAATTTACAATTCCATGAAATCCAAAAAATGATATTTTATAGCTGGACTTTCCAAATTGTGACCATTTTTCACATCCTCCATTCTAGCTATTCTTCCACAACGTTTCTAAATTTATTTCCAACCAACGAAAATCCAATACACACGTTTCTTTCGATCGATTTTTTTATCCACTAAAACATTTATTGAAATGTTATAACTTTTTAACTAAAAAATAATCGCACGATAATCTTCTAATAGAGTCATTTTAAATCCTCTATTTTTACATCTTTAAATTGAATTCTCTCGAAGATCATTTCACGCTAGAAAAAAATAAAAAAATAAATAAATAAAGATACTTTTTTTCCAAAAATCCTGTTGAAAAGAGAAGTCTCGCGAGTTATGCAGGGATGGCGGTATTACGGTGGAGGGGGAGGAAATGCGCAGCGGCGCGCGATAACGCAATTAACGCGTGGGTGCGTTCGTCATCGCGAATAATTCGCAATTTTCTCACAGGCAGTAGTGGCAATCGAGTTGACCGCGATTCTCTATAACGTGATAGAAATTCAACCGCGTGAAACGCAGCTGTTACCATATTTACGCATCGTAATCGAGGTACGGACCAGCTATCGACCTGGTTACACCGATTATTAAACGAAATTATAGGGGCCTAGCGAAATATCACGAGCTTTCCACCCCAGTTCCAATCGCGGCTATGATGCGTGCACGTAAAAAAAAGTACAGGAAATACATTTCTTCGGGACAACTCGAAGAAGTTTTGTGACGATTAATTATCGAGTAATTTGTAAGTAAAAAATTTGAGAACAGACTGAATTTTAATCTGTAAATGTAAAAAATTGGCCCAGATCGAATAATTTTGAAAGAAATTTAATTAAATTATATATAATCATACGTATGTTTCTTTTTTTTAAATAAAAGTATATATTGGTTATCTAGATGCAATATAATTTAAAAAAAAATATTAAAGTTCTTACGTCGACGTTATTAGTTTAGCAGATATTTTAATCTGTATTTTATAAAACTTATTATATAAAGTAAGTAAGAAGAAAGTGATATTGAAATTTTTAATTAAGTTTAATAAATTAAATTTATAATACTTAAATTTTCATAAAAATTTATTTATACAAAGAGCTTATGTCACTTTCGTATAATCTCTACAAAAGTTCAAACACAAATTTATTAAATTACTCACTTCCGAATTTGTTCAATTTTTTTTCCAATTTCTTTTTTTTACCAATGATTTACGAATAACATTTACATTTATTTAGCTTAAAATTAGAACACCGTTTGACTTACTTTAATCCGTTCACTGCTTCATTTATTGCTCCTTCGATTTAATTCAATTCATATCCATTTACAGATTATTGAATTAAATATCCCGTACAAAGTGGGGTATATATATAAAGTTCTCCCTCTCGTTTCGTTATATATCCGATCATTCCCTCCCCTTATCGTAAGCCTGATGAATCCTCGCCGACTAATCGGCGATAGGGGCCGCCAGCCGAAAACAGAATTCATCCGTAAGTGGTATAAGCCGTCATAAGTCAGACACGGGGATCCGTGGCGAGCGCGATAACAGGCCGAATTTCTTCGAATCCCGATCGTGCTTAATCTCTGGGCCGTATATCAAGCAGAATGAATTGCATTATCCCCGATGGTCGCTCGTTTAACATGGAACAGGTCGAGTATCTCGGCCGGCAATGGTCAAACGATACGCGGGCTTTGGCTCGAGATCTGCGATTTCGATTGCGGTCGAATTGCAGGCATCTGAGAGGGACGTGAGTATCGAGGGGATAGATCGAGGGGAAGGGGAATAGTAGTGGTTTCGAGGCGGATCATTGAATTTAAGTAAGTGGCACG